GCAGACAATACATTCAGCTCTGCAGGAGAATTGTTAATAAAGTGTGGCGTTGATGGATAAAATGGGGAATTCATTTAACATTGGTGTGCTCCCTCTACCTCATCAGGCAGAAGAAAATAAGGTCTGTCTGCTAATCAGCTGCTGTCTGACTGTGCTTGTTATTAGCATGCCATTAGCATAATCACTAATCCTCAAAACCTTGTAGTTCCATTTAAGTATGGGCGGCTTTTTGGATGCAGGCATGATGAAGAACACTCCTTCATTCTTCTACATACACATTTCTTATTAAATACTATGAACAAACATATTTTTCAAATCAGGAATTAATCCACCCTAATATCCATTAGAAAAGTTTTGGCAGATTATGTGTAATCGCAAAATTCTGTTCATCAGTTGCTCCAAATCAAAAACGGGAAAAAATGAAAAGAGAGAGAGAGAGAGAGAGAGAGAGAGAGAGAGAGAGAGAGAGAGAGAGAGAGAGAGAGAGAGAGAGAGAGAGAGAGAGAAAAGAAAAAAGCTCTAGCTCTGGGCAGGTAGGTTAGCTTGCTCTTCAATCACATGTTAGAGCATAATATAGCCTCTATTATATGGATGCGTCTCGAGTTATACTCATGTGCCTCATTTGCATAAATATAACTGGCAACTGACAATTATAAAATACATATGCATTTTCGAGTGCATAACTTAAGAAAGCCTACATAAAGAACAAAAATGTATGTGTCTGTAAAAGTACAATAATAGAGACTATGAAAGAGTGGTACAATGCAAATTTGCAATACTAATTACATACCAACTAAGACAAAAGTGTACATAGCTGTACTTTCTTTTTAATGGAGTACGATCAATGGTATTTAAGCAAATATGAATCTGTACACCATAATTTCCTAAAATTCAAAACTACTCTGACTTTAGGTGCGACATCAGTAAGATTTTTTTTAAAGAAATTAATACTTTAATTCAGCAATGATGACCAAGAGACAGTACAGACTTTTGCATTTTGTATAATTAATATAAGATATAATACCAAAAATAATAATATTATAGAAACATTTAAAAAACAATTATGCAAAATAAAAATATACAAAAAATGCCATTCTTGTTACTTAATTATTCATCAAATAATCCTGAAAAAAGTATCACGGTTTCCACAAAAACAGCACAACGGTTTTATAGTAAGAAATGTATCTTGAGCACTAAATAAGCATATTAAAGGATTAGTTCACCTAAAAATGTAAATTATCCCATGATTTACTCACACTCAAGCCATACCAGGTGTATAGGACTTTCTTCTTTAAGCCAAACACAATCAGAGTTATATTAAAAAATACCGTAGCTCTTCCAAGCTTTATAATGGGAGCGAATGGTGCTAGTTTTTTTTTTTTTTAAATCACTGGCTTCCAGTAACGGCCGTACGCAAGTCGAGTTCTGGCATAAGAGTGACCTCTGACCCGACGTATGACAAAAGATGTAGGAGTAGCGTAAGCTTAGGTGAGAGTAGACAATTCTTGCAGTTCAAACAAATGGGGCTGGGCAACAGACTCAAGCTTCTCTTATGTCGAAATCCTTAAACATTTCTGTTTAAAAAAATCTTGTTTTAGACTTCTAATTTGTGGTGTTTTATGCACTTCCATGTTTATCAATACATCATGCGTCGGGTCAGAGGTCACTTTTCCGCTGGAAATCGACTTACGTACAGCCGTCACTAGAAGCCGGACATTATTTCTTACAAAAACACATCGATTGGCTTCAGATGGCCTTTATGACACTCCCTGGAGCCATATGGATTACTTGCATGATGGACGGATGCGCTTTTTTGGGCTTCAAAACAAAAACAAGGTACCATTCACTGATATGTTTTAATATAACTCTGATTGTGTTTGGCAGAAAGAAGAAAGTCATCTACACCTAAGATGGATTGAGGGTGAGTAAATTATGGGAAAATTTTGGGTTAAATGTCCCTTTATAATTATTTCTAAAGGATCATGTAGGATCATTCCTTAAGGATCTGAATTTTTAGCAGTCATTACTCCAGTCTTCATCTAAAGACTGGAGTAATGGCTGCTAAAAATTCAGCTTTGCCATAACAGGAATAAATTACATTTGAAAATATGTTCAAATATATATTTTGTTAATGAGGATAAAGTTACTGAGTGTGAGAAAATTCTTCTAGTGGATATCATATGGTTATTACTCTGTTACTCAAAACAGCAGCTGCACTGTGTGGCTACATTTGTCAACACTGAACACACCTTACATCAGCTTGCACGGCTACAAGAACATTGCTGCTGTCAGCAAACGTAGAAACCCATCCACAGATCAGCAAAACAATATCACGCAATTCATCACAAACATCTGCCGAATAAAATCAGCCTACAGAGATGGAGCACTGTGGGACTCACCAAAACACTGTCTGAATAAGACACAAGAAACACCACCCTACTTTCTCGCCTTTACAGTATATTTCACAAAAACATCCTGTGAGGGTTTTGTTCAGAGTGGAGGCCCAGAGAAGAGAGAAAAAAAGTGTCCAGTTTCACTTTCACTTAAAATAAATCTATCTTCTCTTAAAAGTCTCAGTCCACCCACCCGGAAATTCAGGCAGTAGGCGGTTGGCCAGAATGATGCAAGACACATAATCCAAAACAGATGAGAGGGGGTACTCCACATTTCCCAGATGAGGAAATCTCCTCAGAATTTCCTACAGCTGTGGCCAATAGGAGCTCAATAATAAAGTTAGCAGGCTACGCTAATGTGGGTTACGCTAGCATGACGTGTGTGTGTGCGAGGACGACTCACCAAGCTTACAGCTGCCTGTGGAGGTGACGCTGGAGCAGGGGCAGGGGATGCAGGGGTCCGTGACGAGAAACCTGGGCCTTCTGTAGAAATTATACCTGCAGTTCTCGCAACTGGGTCCTTCGGTGTTGCCTGGCAGTTCACACAGATGCCTGAGAGAACAGGGGAGGGAGAGAGGGTTGAGTAAACAGACCCACAGCTGTAACTGACAGGACTTTGGTCCAGTGAGGTGGACGAGAGGGAACAGAGTTCAACGAAACAAAACAAGGTAGACATAACAAACCTGAAGTTAGTAGACCGATGCGAAGGGAAAAGAAGAAATGGAGAGATTGAGCAAACGTATTTCTAGGGAGTGTGCATGAAAACAAGGAACTTCCTTAGACCCCGCAAGAGCATGTGCAAATCTAACCACAAAATGCTAACGGTGGGGTGAGGGTTGTGAAAACAAATAAATGCATCACAATTTGAATAAGATCATTTTGTGTGTACCAATAACATTGAAGTGAACTCTTTAGTTTGAGTGATTTGAACTGCTTTCAATATATTGATTTGAATTGTTGAATTCACAAGTGAAATGAAAAACAGAACACTTCCCCAACAAGTTATTGCATAATTCACAGAGGAAGTGTGAGAAACAGAAACAGCGCATAATAATTGCAGAAATCTCTAATTGCTGAAAAAGTGACCAAAACTGTTGTAAGTGATATGCGTTATGATTTCCTTCTCTGAGCATGAGAGAAAGCGCAAATACATGGCACAGTAATTAATGAGTGGAATAAAATAGCAGAAGGAAGGACTGGTGAGTATGGAGGCGTTTTGGAGCTGGAACAGTATCTTGTTTGGAGAATGTGACGACACAACCAGAAGATCCTGTTCCAGCTCCAAAACACCTCCACCAGTACACCTGATCAACACCTGTGCAACTGATCAAAAATTGTGATTTCTCTGCTGTACATCAGGCTTCTTGCATTTGCTGTTTTTTTTATCCTTCATTTCTGACAAAGCACCACTTCTGGTGATAGCGCTATAAATAAATATGAATGTCACTGTATTAGATAACAAAATATCAAACCAAAAATATAGCAGGAAATATAACACTGATATGCAAAACATTTCAGGTCAAGGTCTTAATTTATAAAACAAAAGATGATGTACAGTTCAAAATTAAAACAAAAAGCATTTGGACACTGTTATCTTCTTTTACGTTCCACAGAAGAAAAAGAAGTCAAAATTTGGTAGAAGATGAGGCTCAGTAAATGATGACAGAAATTTCAGATTTTAGTGAACTCTACCTTTTAAATGACACTTGTTGGTTGATTAGAAAAATTAAGATGAATGAAGAATGCCAATGCCTCTTGATATTCAAACATTTTTAATTGCGGCATCAATATCCAAATACGTTTTGGGACCAATGCAGCGCTCAGAGCAATTATCTCAGACAGAGAAAGATTAATGACACAATTATTATTATTTTTTTTATTTTTTTTACATGAATTGTAATTCACATGACTTGTATTTGTCACGTTACTTGCATTTGCCATGTGACCCTTTGTGTGTGCCTAATTAAGGTAATCATCTGTGATCTGTGATCTACTTGTGATATTGTGTGTGCCGAATTAAAGGCAATTATCTGTATATATTTAAAGTTGACTTCATACTACATGTATATTGTGCCTGATGAAGACCTGAGGGTCGAAACGTTGCTTTTTAATAAATTTTTGGAGCAGTACCTTTCAGTGTGCGGACTTCACACTTCTTTATTTTGTTTACTTCACTCAGATGTCCTGCACCTGAGCCCAATTTAGGTGTTTGGGATGTGCACACCAGTTTTGTATTTTTTGAGGATTCAATACAATTCACAAAAATCACACTATGAAAAACAAAGAAGTAAAAAACAGTAAACTTGTAATATCAATGTTTTTTACACATCAAAAAACAAAAACAAAAAACAATTAAAATAAATAGAACTTATGATTTATGAAAATGCTTTAACCACTATTTTTTTAAACTGTATACCTTTGGGGCATTTGCCATTACATTTTATCTTACAACAATATCTTAGTTTAAACATAAAGTATAAACCTTTCCATATTTGGCGACTGATATTCGATAGCAATAGATTCTCCTTTTGTGAAGCATCGCTGAACTAAAACGTACACCCAGATCCCTCTGTATGTTTTTATGTGTTTGTTAGATCTACTTCTGAATAGGATGTGTGTTTTCACATCACTCAAATCATAAAAGAGCCTAGATGTCATCTAGTGGAAAATTTTGGTACTGTTCCAAAATAAAATCTTACTGATTAATTTTTTAAGTAAAACTGAAAAATTTAAGTTTTAAAATTAAAACTTGTTCAGGTTTACGGCTTTGATTTTCTTGCAGTTTTAAAGCCTGATATGTTTTTTTTTAAAATACATAGTTTATTTAAAATATATATGCACATTGCACATCAGTGTATCCTCACATTGCATTAATGTTTGTTACTCTAAATGTGGAAAAGTCACAAAACTCAAAAAGAAATAAAATACTGAAAAGTTGCCTTTAAACGTAAACAAATCTGGGTAAAATTGACCGACGAATATCAAAACCATAATAGAAATTGTGTTTGCATTTCAAAACACATCAGAGTATCATGATTGTCATGATTTATATCTCACTTTACATGCATGTTCATGATGCTAAATGAGAAAAATTCACAAAAATGTCAAGAAAAAGAAAATTGTAGGTTAACTAGTATTTCTGATACTACAAGGGTTAAATCAGCTGATACCATTGATTAGCCAATACATTGTACTAGTTCAAACCCGGCAAGAGGCGATCTATGAACTATTACAATTAATCTCTTGCACTTAAATCTCAATTTGCTCCAGGAGTTTGGGGGTTTCTTGCTGTAATAATAAATGTACTTGGATGAAAGCGCCATCTAAATGACTAATTGGATAGTTAACATGAATTTTCTAGAGACTGAGGTTCAGCTATAGGTTATTTTACTACTTATGTTGTGTGCATGTGGGCGACTCACCTGACTGTGGGTGGCAGTAGCTGCTATGATTATTGCATTGACAAGGTTGGCACCCCGTGCTGCTGAAGTTCGAGAAGCCTGGGCGGCAGTCGTCACACTTGTCCCCATGCACTCCCATCTTGCAGATGCACAAGCCTGAACTGCCAGAAAAGTAAATACAAACATATTTGGAGTTACAGTAATAGAGGCACAAAATGAAAGACCAATTGTTCTTACAGGACAGTAAAGAATCCTTCAAAAGCCAGACATAGAGAGGTTAAAACCTCTGTCCATCAAACACCAGGTTTTCTCTGAACTGCCAGAATTGCTGCTCCTTCCCATCCATCACATGTTAACAGAACCACACCATAAAACTGAACCAACATGTACAGTATTTGAGATAATGCTGTAAACTAGAGGTGTAATCATAAATTAATATGCATCAAAAAAAAAATTATAGTATTATTCAGTCATAAATAATATAAAATGACCAAGGTTTGTGGACAACAGATACTTAAATGCATTTCATTTGCATTGGATTGTTGTTTCATGGTTGTTTCAGGATCTTTCCTGCCCTGCGTTACATAAAAAAAATTATTACACAAAGGTCATTAGTGGTTCTGCGTGTAATGAAATTTCCTTGAACTACTTGGCAGAGAAACAGATTGGGGTAAATATGCTCTACATGAGAAATTAGTGTAAAAATATTGAGTGCTTAAAATGAAAAGGAACAGAAACTGCAGAAATGAGAAAACTTCTGATTAGACTATTAAACACTTCAGTCTTTTGAAGAGCAAATGAGAAACGCAGAAGAATGATTTCTTCTGGGAGAGGCTTGAGAAATCTATGAGATTTCTGCATTTATTTTTTTCACACAAACACACGACTCTCCTATGCACAGAGTAATGAGGCAACTTACTCTGATATGCTGAGCTCATGGTTCCTGGAAAAAAGGACCCTGAGATGTCAGTTGAACCCAACCACAAAAATTAAATCAGTATTCCACTTCTTTCAATAGGACACAGAATATATAAACAATTAATATAATTAAATAGTAAAAAAAAAAAAAAAAACTATATTAGTTTTTGAAGTGTCATTTGTTTGTGTTCCACAGAAGAAAGAAAGATCTGGGAATTTGCATTTCTTAATAGAATATACCTTTAAGTCTAACTCGCTATAGTCTAACGTACACACAAACCCACACACACACACACACACACACGTCACACACACACACAAGTCTCAAATCTTGCCTCATCACACCAGGTTTGCATTGTTTGCTGAAACACACAAATGCAGTCATTTGTAAAAACAAACTTGAACATGGACATGCTTTAAAGAGCACCTATCATGGATTTTTGAAAATGACTGTTCATGTAGTGTGGATTATAGCTCTAAGGGAATGAAAACATCCTGCAAAGATTTACATCTGAAAGTGCACCGTATATAAAGTTATTGTCTTTCAAAAGTGAGAGTCGAGTCTGAGTCTATGAAATGAATTGTTTTTGAAACGAGTCATTAGCTGTTACATCGTGACGTAGAGAGGTCATTGGCCACTCCCAACAACTGCATACGTAGACTTGAAGTGACGTCTAGAACACATTCAAATACTTCAGCTGAATCGCATAATGCAGAGAAGACGCTGTGTTCTACATTGCAAAGACAGTTCAGCCACTTGTTTCCATTGTCCAGGGACGAGCATGTGAAAGCTCGCTCTTGACGGAGACGCGAGTAAGGGACCGTGTGGAAAGTGCACTTTTTCTGACACGTTTGTTCAAACACTATATACAATTTTCAACACTTGACAAGCTATAATCCGGGTTATGGGCGTTCCGTTGCCGACAGTCTCTGCCTACGGTTTACCAATAACAACTGACTGGGTCATTTGACCAATCGCCGCAGATTCGAGTCACTCAAAGGAGGTGTTTGGGAAAATGAATCGTCGAACAAATTATTTGGGAGTCGTTGAGTAAATCAGTTAAAAATAAATGCATATTATAAGACGAATAACGTGTTTTTTATCCTTGCATGCACGTTAAACGTTTTTTGGGAACTCCTAAAACAAAAATAGGAACATTTCAAATGCTATGATAGGGGCTCTTTAAAAATGAAACCCTTGTGTTTGATTTAGCAAGCATCATTCACTGTGCTAAGGAAGAAGCATCGTAAAGACCTTTCAGTCGGTCTGTTTGAGCTATAAGCTGACACCATGATCCTCCACTGCACAAGTCAATAACTTTAATGTTTGGCCTTGCAGTCACGTCTAGAGAGAACTGAGCTATGATTGTATCCCATCCACCGTCTATGAAGTGTACAGAGAGAGAGAGAGAGAGAGAGAGCAGCATTTGAGCAGAATGCTTCTGGCATGGGCTACATGTCCTGTTAATTTCAATGGATTTAATCTGAAAGTGCTTTCCTAAATATTAGAATCCAATGATGGATGTAACCATTTAAAAAATCAGATATTATACTTAGAGCTGCTGTATAATTCTTATTTATTTAAAATAGTGCTTAAAATAGTGCTAAATGCTTAAAACAGTATATTCTCCTATGCCAGCTTAATTTGCAGAATTAACTATACAGTAAGTAAATGTTTAAATATGTCAATATTCTCTCTGTCAATATGTCAAAAACTAACTAACAAAAAGCAAGAAATTGTTAAATAATAATAAAACCAATTTATAAAAGTAACAGTAAAATAATGTTTTAAATAATGTTTTTATGTAGAAATTGACAAGAATGCGAGTCAAATGAAAAAAAAAATCATTTATTGTCTTTTTTTTAATAAATATAATGTGGACCTGGTAATATTATTAAATAAAGCTAATAGATTTATTCATCCAAGTGCAGTGTGTAGTAGGGCTATTCGTGTTTTCTTGATGTAATAAATACATCTTCAGCCGGCATGTCAGGCGTCGTGACTCGTGTCAATATTAACTCTATTTTACAACAGTATAAAAAGACAGGAATTTTGACCACATAATCATTTGGTAGATTGTGATGTGCAGTGACAGTACTCGGCAGGCTGTAGATGGTAGTTTTCTTATTTCCAGCGATATAACAATACAACCTAGAACATCTTGATCGACTGGAATACAACAACTCTCATGGTCTCCCTCTCCTTCTTTTCATGGCGTTTCTGGTACCCTGATTTATGTTTTCTTTTCCTCAACATTTTTCAGTCAGTCATTCTCCTAATCTTCCACCAAGTTCATTGTTAACTTCAGGCAGCTGCTGCCTCATCTCTGATTGGTTCTGTTCACGAGCTGGGGTGGGACTTCAAATTTTATTGGTTCCATCTGATGTTATGACTGAATAATTAATAAATACTTTAGATCTGACAAAACCATTTTAGGGAGTTAAGAGAAGCAGATATTTGGAAAAAATATTTGTATGTTTTTGTGGCTTTCATTTAAACCTAATACAGACAGTTTCTGGTCCCATTGACTTCCATAGTATACCCAACTGTTTAACTCTGGGGGAGTTGTAATGTGTATTATCTAAAAATTTAAAAAGTGTTCTATCAAAAGATACCCAACTTATGACTCTATTTGCTATAGTTTTGAGTTATGAGTCTTTAGTTGAAATAACAACTTTAAAAATTCCCAGCTCCCAGGGCTTAAGGGGTTAAAAGCAACACAAATGAGATGTTCCTACTGATCCACAAAAGAAAACATTAAAAAAAAATGCAAAATCAAATAATCCAGAACTACTTCTCAAACCTTAAGCTCTTAAAAACTCGAGAATACACTAGCTGACTTTGCACTGAGGGTGTAAGTATGGTGAGGTTTCCATGGCAACAACACCTCAGATCACAAGTACCCCACTGAGATTAAACTGAAAGTCTATTACAGTATAATTACCAGGGCAACAATCTCACACAAAAGACAAGCATTAGATGTGCTGTGGAAGCAAATTTACAACCTTTAGTAAATCATGCAGCCTTTGCACTTGTCAAGATTAATTAATTAATCGTTTTAGCAATTTGTGGAAATGCTGATGGCACAGCATGGTTTATACCCACTAGCAGTGACATTATTTGTAAATGCTGATATGCTCACACTTTTGTGAATCTATTATTGTGTCTACTAACGATCATGTCGGGTTATTTAGGTCTGTGCTGTTTTAATGAAATTCATTTGTGCAAGGCCAGTTAGTTAGTAGCTGGCATTAATGCACACTATCTAGGGAAATCTGTCAGTCACTGCTTTAGTAATTGCCTACTTCCTTCCGGACTATTTAAGGGCAGAGCGGTTTGAGGCCTGGGTGGTTTGGAACCGCTAATGTATAACCCAGTTTTATTGCGGCAGTGAGTTATGCGGATCTCAGAATTATATGGTCAGACCCAAAGGTTTTCAGAGCAGTTAAACAACCTTCTGAAAGCTTTTGACCTCCTATGCTTCAATGGTGCAAAAGCAGACTGTCATGTTCAGTTGAGGAACACAAGAGTCCATCCTTGTCAGGCATGCCATGTAGGAAAAACATTTTAAGCCTTACTCAGTATGTTTTAATGGTAGCCTCTACATTATTGTTATTTTCATAAATCTACATTTTTATTCAAAATGGCTTACAGTGTAATCAATGTACAGTACATTTCAAAAGTTTGGGGTCAGTAAGACTATTTTGTGTGTGAAAAGAAATCTGAAATTGCAGTTATTCTGCAATTATCAAATTATCAAATTATACACGGCACAGCGCAGATGAATCAAATGTGGGAAATTTCAGGAAATTTCATCTGAACAATAAGTAACATCCAGTTTTGTTCTGACCAACTAAGAGGAAAAAACATTGCAGTAAATTGTGCTGATTAAATCTAATACTTTGTTCTCAAGTTGTTAAATGTAAACATCAGTATTGCATGACTACATTTAAGATCATTCCAATATTTATCCTTGTTTTCAACTGGGCCAGTTGCAGTCTCTTTTTTTTTCTGTAGCTCCGAGGTCTTTTGCATTTTACAACGGATGAATCTCCAGTGTTCACTGGTTCACTGCTAAGGCAAGCATATACTTTTAAACACTGGCTGCTTATGCACTTGGTCAAAAAATTATTTTGGATATGTTTTAATCCAAAAAAGTTATGGAATGCAGCTTTAACATATTAGAATGATTTCTGAGGGATCATGTGACACTGAAGATGGGAGCAATGGCATGGTCACATT